TATACAGCCATTATATGATGCAAGTAAATAATAGTTCTTAGTGGTTGTTTTTTTACATCGAATGGATACTCAATTTCGATTGGAAAGGGTTGAGCTAACAATAATGGTCCGAACGACATTATTATAGCTGTCGTGGTTATGAAACACATTGTCATACCGTAAAATAATTTGCATTTGTTGATAAATCGCTGAAATACGTTCCTTTCTTCCGATTTTGCTTGCTGAATATAATCTTCCATTTCGTATATTATGATCTGCATAAGAATATTATGTAATCTCTCATTAATGACGGAGTCATCAAAAGAAGTTTTTAGTTGTACACCAGCTAAATATATTTGTCAAAATGACAGCATTTCGTAAATATATTTTTAATTGTAACTTTTTAAGCTTTTGGCAAATTAAACTTTGCACAAATATAAGTATAATATAATAGTTCAATTTGAACTGTTTCGTATATAACATATAGCATAAAATATTAGTATTAAATGAATATTACTGTTGAATGTATATTCTTTCGCGATATTAATGAAAGAGTTTAAAAAACGTTATTTAAAAATAAATTTTTTTTTAAATGCTATCATTAAAACATGTTAATTTTGTTAAATAATTTTTTTAAATTTAGAAACAAAATAAACACTGGTGTAAGTAGAGAAAAGTTTATAAATGGTACAATGAAAGTGATAATGGAGTCAATTCAGTAAAGGTTTTAATGAGAAATTTTTATTTGTAGTTTATAAAATTTGAGATATGATAAAATTATTTTCTTAGTAAATTCGAAAAAGTTGAAAAGCGCTGCAGTTTTAAATACTTGGAGATGCAAACAAAACGGAAGATCTACCAGTACAATTTCACCAGGGAATGGTAAAGTTACTTTTTAAAAGTAACAAGTTACTTGAAAAAATAACTTTTAGTTAAGTTTCCATTTTTAAAAATCTATGATCACCAATCATAGCGGATGGGTACCTAGGGGTTTTCTAGTCTCAAGTGCTATAAATGGTTTATGTCCAATCGTGTGCAATCGTGTGCAAAGTAACAATAAAGGTAACTGTAAAATTTGTTATTATTACTATAAAAAAATGTAACTACGTTACTGTTACAGTTACAAAATAAAGTAACGCAGTTACCAGTAATGTTATCAAAAAAGTAACTTGTAACTATTAACGAGTTACTTCCATTTCCTGAATTTCACATTTTGTCATACAAGTCCATTTCTTAGTTGTTTCTTGTACTGGGAAACTTTTAATATCATACAATGTATTTTGGTATGAACAATAATAATAGATTAGAGGATCTGGAAAAATGTTCAAGTTTTTATGAGATCTTAGATAATCTAAAGCCTCAATTCTTTGCGATAGATAATTTTATATTTAATGTTAAGACATATACGTTGAATTACTCCATATTTATGCAAAATTGGCAAAATGCAAAAAAATATATTCTTTTTTATTTTTCAGAACTCAAATAAAATAAATTTAAAAATTCCGTGTGTAATAAATAGTATGTGTATATATATATATATATGTGTGTGTATTTATATATATATATAGGGTGTCTGATAATTAACTGAGTTAAAAAATTCTGTACAATTTTGCAATTTTCGCATTTGTTAGAGATATTAATTACTAAAACTTGCCGAACATATATTGGTCTTCAATAATTTTTTACTCAAATACTATCAATTTTACAGAAAAACATCTACAAACAAAAATTGTTTATTTTCTTTTCAAAAAGTCCTGAGAATTTTTTCAGAATTGTTTAATACTATATTTTTCCTTATGTTAGTAAAAATAGTCGCCAGTACTAAAAAGTTGATGAAAAATTCTGAAAAAATTCTTAGAGCTCTATTGGAAGAAAATAAATAGTTTTTGCCTCTTGCTGTTTTTCTTTAAAGTTGATGGTATTTGAGTAAAAAATTATTGAAAATCAATATTCGCAATTTTTAGTTATTAACCTTTAGACTGCCGGGAAAGCCACTTTTGTGGCTCTTGAATGTGGGTTAAAATACCATTTTTGGTGGCATTTTAAATACTAATTGTAACGTATTAAACATATATATGTATATGTTGTTCAAAATATGTAAAAATATATAACTACAGAAAAATATACAAAAAAAGTAAAAAATATGAAAAGGTAAAAAAATTATAAAACAAGAAAAAAGTAAAAAAATACAAAAAATAAGTTTAAGAACCAAACAAAAAAGAAAAATTAAAAAGGAGCTATAAACTTTTTACGTCTATGTCGTTAGTTCTGGGTAATGCTAAAGGAAAGTTCTCTGCATGAGTCTATAAATTGAAATTACAATAAATTTAAAAGCACGTTGCATTTCTTACTTGCAAACGGTCACTTTGAAGTGTGAACAATACAATTTGTATTGGAACTTGCAAAAAGGCGGTCAGCTCACAGCCCACTTTCATCACAAGAATCATATTATCATATTTCCTGTTTAATGTATATATTAATGATATTGTCATTATGATGCTATTTAAGCAACATAACAATCGAAATATCTTGTCACGAATTTTTTGAAATTTTGTAGCCTTCATCGGAAGTGGCCAACAACATGCAAACGTCAGATCTACTTTCAAGAAAGCAATAATCTTTTCTAGCGTCAGTGTTTCTGTCATAATAATAATAATAATAATTTTGTGAAGTATTATTAGAGATAGAAAATAACGCACTTTATTCCGATTCGCACTCGACTAAAGTGTTATAAATAACATACCTCTTCCTTCGAGGAAAGAAAAATCGTTTGATATTAGACATTTAAATTACAGCTACGTTGCATTCATTTATATTTTAAAGCAAAATGTACTTTTCTCCGGCAGAGCGATGCGTGCGGAACTATAATGTGGCAGAAATTATGATACAGGAAAGGAAATAATAAAATGCCGGAGGGATGTATATTTTTTGTTAAACGTAGGTCAGTATTTTTTGCGTTTTCTGATGTATTATTGACTAAACGATGAAATAATTACATCTTATAACGTCAAAATAATTTTAAAAAGAATTAAGGAAGTATTTAATGCAACCTCTCTCTCTCTAATGAAGAAACATAACATAATTTTATTTTACGTGAGAAATAAGGAATGGTATGTTGTGTATAAGATAACTTTAACATGAAGTACAGGAAATATATATGTAAAGTATTAGTGCTCTTCCAAAAAAATACACGTCAAATAAAAATAATTATTTTTTTTTATTAGAGAGTGATAATTATTAACTTTGATAAATTATAAATTGCATTTTTTATTATTTCAATAATTTCTTTTGTGCTGTATACATACGATGATATCATAGATGTTGACGACCGTACGAAATTTAGAGAGGATTTCGAAATACGCCGTGACAAACCATATGAAAAGAAGAAAGTTGCAGAGGCAAACGATGAAGAAATACTGTGATGAAATGAATATACAAAAAGATAATAGTTTTTACTGGTTTATGTTCCACGTCTAAAGAATATGTTGCATCTGTTGGAAAGATCTGATCTGCTGGTACCGCTTTTCTTTAGAAAAAAATAATAAAGTAAAACTTCCCGCAAATGGCGCTTTTCCGGTACAAAATTTGACATTTTCAATGCGATAAAAATAATAGTTGTTTTCACTTTAGTCAAATGAAATGTACTACGTTTTAAAGCTGCGTTTTCAGGTACACCTTTCAAGTACATGTATTGCCAACTTCAAATAATACCAGCAATATGACTATACCGCCATCTATTGAAATCCGTAAAGTCATACTTGTACACCTAATAAAAAGCAAATATTTAATTTATTAATATCTAATTAATGAATGAAATAGATTAAGAATGATTTATCAAAAGTCGGTCTGATTTCGCTGTAGATGTCTATTTCTTACTTGCAATCGGTCATATTGCAGTGCGCGTGATGTTATCTCCAGAGGGATTTGTATATAGTATCCAGCAAATGGCATAATTTTGTTTTCTTTAGTAGTAGTATTACAATAAAGGATGCTTAATATCGTTGTATTTAGAATAAAGAGCGTAAGATTTTGAAGTTTAATATCTGAATTTACTAGTTCTTTGACAGTTTTTATTCTTTGACTACGATAAGAAGTTCTTCCTTGATTTAATTCACGATATTCTCTAGATTTGGAGTTAATAGAACTGATTGATATTTTATAAATGCAACCGTAAACTAATAAACTAATTTTTTAATTTTACGTTTAATCGTTTTTTTATATATATAAAGGAACAAAATGATAAGAAAAGACTAAAAGATAAGAAAATAAATATGGATAACTTTTAAGGTTTTTAAATAATTATACATTATTAAATAAAATTTTAGCGAGTTTTTCGAATTTATTGTGTCATCTATGCCATGTGATTATAATGGGCGTAACAATAAAATAAACATTGATTTTTAGCTATTTAATATAATTGCTTGCATATTTTCCAATTTTATCAGCAGCACATGTTTTTGCTCATTCTGTCTCAAACATTTTGCATGGTTACTCGTAGCGTTGTGAAATAGGAAAATATAGTCGACAAATACTGGAACACATTCGTAATATGTTCATATAATAAAATATTTGAACTAAAATATTAGTTTATTCCGAATTATAGACACAAATTATGTATTTATGATTTCAAATTGACAAAATAATATTTGCTGTATTTAATTATATGATATGATATGTATCCAGACAACTTATCTCTAATTTTTATTTTTATGTAACACTTGTGTCATTCATTGAAGTACTTTTATGCATTGTAATTTTATATATACAATAATCAGTTATATATTAGTGATTCTATGCATGTTTAATGTCACAATATATTAAAATTTAGTTAGCCTTACCGATGCATAGTATTTTAAAGATAATGCGGGCATAACACATGGTACTGAGATAATTACTGGTTTTTGAGCCCTTAACATAATTATCTGTAGAGTCTTCCTTAGAGCGACTGGTTGTTGATACCATTCCATATCAAAGACTGCCTGTCCAATTTCATCACTCTAGAAACAATATTAGATATAATAATGTTGATTTATTGTAATTGATTAATCAAAGTGCAGTTCTTTCTGTAATAATTAAACTTACTATATGAATCAAATGTTCGGCTGGCCATGTATACATGAATACCACTGACAGTCCACTAAACATTATACCAACGCATTGGATTTTCATTGACAATGGCTGATCCTATTTGTAATACAGTATGAATTATTTGACGCATTATTATTATTATTTAAAAAATCTATATATATCTTGTTGAGTATATTAAAAATGTTTTAAATAGTTTTTGCATAAATATAAGTATAATAATATAAAATTAAACATATATATATATATAAATAAATAAATGTATATATATACAGGGTGTTTCAGAAATAGTTGACCAAATTTTAAGAGCACATTCCACTCATTGTAAGGATGAAAAAAAGTCATATAAACATGGGTTCGGAGACGCTTCTTTTCCAAGTTATAAACATTTTTTATTTACTTATATCTATATTTTCATTACAGAAATTGCTGGAAATTATTGTCTTTGAGGAAAGATTTGTTAATAGAGACGTTGAGCTTTTCTGCAGTTTTCATTAGCTCGCCCATACATATAGTGGATATCTGCCAATTCGATGTTAGAATAAGTTGCCATGTTGATGAATACTATCTTCACTCTTAAATGCTTAAATAAAGACTGATTCCAATTCCATACAGACTTATCTAATAACTTTTTGTTTACTTTAGAAGGTGAATAGAAGTACAATTCATGAAGCGTCGAAGCGAGGCATGTCATATATAAATACATACAATGTAAATAAGAAATGCTTATAACTTGGAAAGGAAGCGTTTCCGAATCCATGTTTATGTGACTTTTTTCATCCTTACAATGAGTGGAATATACTCTTAGAGTTTGGTCAACTATTTCTGAAACATCCTGTACACACAAACACGCACGCACGCACGCACGCACGCGTAAACACACACACACACACATATTGAAAAAACGCACACAAAATATTGTGCATATATCAGAAATATCCCGTATCTTTTTCTAAAATTCTACAAATATATTTTATCATTATTTCAAATTGTTTTTTTTTCTGAATTAAATTAAAATACTGTAAAGTTTTTAAAATATTTTAATTAAAAGATGGGGTGTATATATAGATATTAATAATTGAATTCGCGAATATATTATATTATTAGAAAAGGCAACTTAGTACTTACGGTCAACAAAATGAGGCCTACTATTATTAATGCGATAGTACTGAAGCTCACAGTTGATAATGCTATAGGGCGAATTAAAATGGTCACTTCTTCCGCATATCTGAGATAAAAATGTAAAAATGATAACATCATTAATTGTTAATATTATTTTCTTTTGTATAAACATATGTAACAAAAAATTGTATTCAAATGATATCGAAAAGATTATGTGATATAAGTGTAGGAATAAGGTGATTCCATTGAAGAAAATGTTGGTGATCCAACATTTATTGGGTGACGAAAGAATTCGGAGAAATACAAAAACTCTTGTTGCTCGCACGCGTTCACGCGTTCACTCTCAATGACCGTCATTAAAGTTCTGTCTTCTTGGCCTTCATTTCCGCTCGCGCAAGCGCCCGCGGTTAACCTATCTAGGGACTTCTCACCTTACAATACAAGTGGCGCGAAAGTAAACTCGGAATATGATAGCATGCTTCCCACATAAGTTTGAACAATTATTTTATCGCAAAAGTTGTATGGCTTATAATTTTGATACTTATGATTATTATACAATAAATTATAATAAAATAATGTCATTCGGTTTATGAAGTTTTCATTATTAAGAAATTACTTTTAACATATTTATTAAAAACAGGTTAATCACGTTAAAAGCACGCAGATAATGTAGGGTTAATGGTGTAATCGTGCTTTAAATAAGAATAATGTCTTACTTTAATAGATTTTGATGTTCTTGAATACATTTCTTTAATTCAGAAATGTTTGTGATTCTTTGCAGTTTTCCGATGAGTATTTCAAGTCTTGCCGACGTAAACCATATTAAGAGCGCCATAAAGATATTCATACATAGCTGGGCAGCACCTTGCACGCAAGCTATAGTCTGCTGTATAAAGATAATAGATCTTAAAGGTTGATGATAAACATTGAATGGATACTCAGCATTTGTTGGAAACGGTTGATCTAGCGTAAGAGGTCCAGACATAATGAAAACGGCACTTAGATATATCCAAAACATAGAGCCACCATAGAAATAGACGCATTTATTGATATATCGTTGAAGGATCGCTTCTTCGCAAGGTTTAAGTAATTCACAGAAATTTTCCATTTCGAAAGTAACCGACTGGAATTGGTTATATCATGTGTCTTAAATATATAAATTTACAAAGAGAGAGTGTATACAATAATAAACTTTGTCTATTTTTTACTTTTACGTAACAATTAAATGTACTCATAATAATTACTTGTAGACGATAAGAATTAATTCTACAGCACATAATATTGCAAACGACTTGTATAGCGGGACACAGAACGCTTATCGATTTTGCAATAATGACAGGATCATCAAAGTGATTTCGCATCGCATTTATCAAACCTGCAGCCACGCTAGAGAGCACAATTATGCAAAAGTATTGATATATTCCTGCACAAATAACTTTCAATTTGACTGTATCTTTTGGTAGAGGCCAACACCAAGTTGGGAACAAACTTAGTTTTACAATAGCGATGACTTTCTTTAACGTCAACTTTGACATGATTAGAATGTTAATTGCACATATTCACGTATTGTAATATGTATAATAAAAGATATCTATTTTAAAAACTTTCAACGATAAGAAGATATATAAAGAAAATTTTACATATAGCACAAAATAGTTATGTCTGTTTTCATTGCTTCTATTTCACGGCAAATATACTTTCGCAATGAAATTGCGATAAAATAAGCAAAAAGATACGTATGTGTATGTGTAATGTGAAAAGTAAGGCTTGTAGATTTATTTTCTACTAATATCTATTTTTAACATAAATTACGAAGGTGGCATACGGTAAGGGTATTATCGTATGCCACCTTCGTATTATGAATTTACGACATAATCTGGAATTTTCCCTCTTTGTAGTGTTTTTCCCTGAAATCATTACTAGGGCTTTTAGAAAAGAACATTTTCCGTAATATGTGTGGAATATGATGTTACAAGATTATGAAATGCCAGTAATTGAGGAACCATTCTGCAGTAATTACTTTATAAACTATTCAACACATGTACGATGAATTTCCTGACGCAACCTTAGTTTCACTGAAATGCTTCGAAAATAAAAACCTTTTATTAGAGTGCGAATACTGAAATTGATGTATTAGCAAGTTTTATTGCATTTAATATTATTATTTTCATCTACTAATATGTAGTTGTTAATTGACTTTTATTTTTGTCTAAAAATTATTAGAATTTATAAAATGAAACTTACATTTTGTTTTCCTAATTGTTTTTTTTTATTATATTCGTTAAACTTTTGTTTTTAAAATAAATATTTATTAAATATTTTTATTTTGTGAGCTGTGTAAAGATGTTATACAAATGAGATAACTACAATTTTAAGTAAATTACCATAAATGAATTTAAGAAAATTGTAAAGAACTCTTCTAAAATTAAACAATACTTCTGTAAAACTAAACAATAGAAAAAGATTAATGACAATTGCACATTTACAAATAAAAAAATTTGTTATTACAACTATAAAACTTTTAAGAATTTTAATTTATTTTTTCATTAGATTTGGAAAAATTTGAAGCACATGTATATATGTTAGCAAGTAATAAAGAAAGAAAAATATGAAAAATGTATAATTAGTAAATGGTACATGATTATTAATATTTAAGATGGATGTAAGATGTACAAATTGATTCAATAAAATAATGTGCTTTGCGGCAATAATAAATGATTTATTATTATCTTGAATTGCATTACATAGTTTGCTGAATCAGAATATCGTTATACATTACGTGGGCACCAAAATTTATAGTTTCTTTATGTAAAATTGCGACGATTATTTAAATTACATGGTCTCTTTTAATCTGTATTTAGCATTATGCGCAGTGTTGTAAAATAGGACATTATGGTTGAACAGTACTGTAACATGTAAGAAAATCTAGTTAAATCCTTCCTTATATTATAAAAATAAATTTTTGATCTTGAAAGTACAAAATGTTACATAATGATAACTAATAATGCAAATGATGTGATAGCGATTTTTAATTAATTCAAATCTCTGTCTCACCGATGTCAAGTAATTAAAACATATTGATGGTGTAATACATGGTACTGCAATCGTTACCACTTTTTGACTTCTCATCATGACAATTTGCAGGAGTTTCCGTATTTCATTAGATTGATTGTACCAGCGTGTATCAAAAATAGTCTGAGAGATATTATTGCACTCGAAAAAAATAATAAATATTAATTATATATATTATAATTAGTTTTATGATTTTTTATAATAAGTAACTTACTAAGAAAATCAAATGTTCTGCTGGCCAAACAAACATAAATATTTCTGCTAAACAAGCTAGAGTCATGAAGATATATTTGAATCTCAATAGCAAAGATTGATTCTGTTTAAAAAAAATTGTATATGCATATTATTCTTATTGATATTCTAATACTAAAATTTTTTAATTTATATTAGTAAGTAAAAATTGATCGAGAAATGTTCAACACAAATAAGCGAAGAAGAAGGCTATATTCGATCAAAGTGAATATTGATACCTAACAATATTTTTACGTGAATCTTTCAATTTCCACTTCGAGTAAACTGTTGAAGCAAACTGTCGAGCAAACACGGTCCTAAACTGAAGTTGTAGTACCTAATTTCAAGCAATTTACTAATACTGATGCTAACGAGTACCATAAAATTGTAAAGAATTTATTGTGAAAAATATTACCCCGACCAGAATTCGACTTACATAGTTAGATCCTACCGTTTGGAACTCTCTACATTTCTTGACGGACATCTAATGGGAATGGCGGATAATGGGAACATAAGAAGGTTCAGATTCAAAATCTAACTGGGGAGATATTATTCGCAATAAATTCTTCATAGTGCTTTAAGATGTTTATCAGCATCATTGTTATTAAATAGCTTACCAGTTTAATTGATGATATTGCGTTATGATCTAGCTTCGTTATAGAACTATGTTTTAAAATTGATAAATAATCGTTTGCTTGAACTGGAAATTGCAAGATTTATGCAAAAATATTATTAGTCATCAAGATCCGCAAATGATACTTTGACCGAAAATAGTGTTTTTATTTGTTTTTAAATTTAGTTGGAAGAATCTCCCTCTCCTTCTTCTTTCTCTTTATACATATAAATGGATATTATTATATAAATATATTTCTATAATTATATATATATTGTGAGTATATAAATTTTCAGTATATCCCCGAATTTCAAATATAACATTTGATAGCTTCAATATATATATAAATTTTTTTTTAATAAAGATTTTAAGTAATTTCTGAAAAGAGACTTCAATTTTCAAATTATTACATGTACTTACGGTAAGAAATGAAACACCAATTATTATTAAATTAACTGTGCTACAACATATACATGTTAATGCAAAACAACGAGCAACAATAATAACTTCCGTTGTATACCTGAATAAATACATTTTAGTTCTCAATATTTATATCCAATATTTATATCCAATATTTATATCCAAATTTCTTTAACCAGATTATGTGCATATAAGAACAAGAATGTCATTTTATATTTAAATTACTACTCACTCAAGAATTTTTTGATGTTTCTTAATACATTTGACTAATTGATAGACATTTGTGAAAGTCCTCAGCTCTTCGATTGTTATTTCAAATCTTGCTGATGCAAACCAGAGTAAAGTAGCCACGAAAGTATTTAAACATAATTGTGCTGCTACTATGAATGCGACTGTAGCTTGATGTACGTAGATAATTGTTCTTAAAGGGTCATGATATACGTCGAATGGATATTCGGCTAATGTTGGAAATGGTTGATGTAGAATGATAGGTACCACGCAGAATACTATCACAATGAAATAGAAAATAACCGTAGACACACCATAGAATGCGGTACATTTATCAATGTACCGTTGAATCACAACTTCTTCACGTGGTTTCATTGAGTCGCAAAAATATTCCGCTTCAAAAGCAATATTCTGTAAATAATTACGTATTTACGCTCATGCACGCGGGCATACTACACACTTACACGCGTGCGCATATACAGGGTGTCCCAGAATGACCGCCAAATATTTCGTGTGTTGGTAGAACGGACTAAACTAAGTCGAAAAGTCATCTACTATTTTGCAATTTTTACAATAGTTAATAAAATAATATTACTAAAAATTGCTGAATATTGGTTTTCAATCATTTTTTATTTAAGTATTATCAACTTTACAGAAAAACAGTTAGAAACAAAAATTGTTTATTTTCTTCTTATAGAACTTTAAGAATTTTTTATCAACTTTTTAGTACTGCATTTTCTTATTGATCACTATTTTTACCAATATGAGAAAATGTGGTACTAAAAAATTCTGAAAAAATTCTCAATTTTCTTCTCTATAAGAAGAAAATAAACAATTTTTGTGTCTATTGCTGTTTTTTTGTAAAGTGATAGTAGTTAAGTAAAAAAGTATTGAAAACCAATATTCAGTGATTTTTAATAATTAATCTTGTTAACTATTATAGAAATTGAAAAATGGTAGAGAACTTTTTGACTCAGTTTAGTCCATTCTATCTACATGCGAGCGTTTTGTCAAAACTTATCGGACACAGTATATATGTATATATATATATATATATTTACAGTGTTTAACAATAAGTATGTGTATACATTCGATTAATTTTTAAAATATAATTAAAGAAAATTTTTAAATAAAATTAGTTTGTTTAAGAATTAATAGTAATTATTTTTTTATTGAACAGTATTTTGTTGGAGGTATTTCATTTTTTTGCTCATGTCCAGAGAAGCAACACGAGTGACAATATAATGTATCTCAAAAACTACTATAAAAATTTATACATGTATTTTATTATGAATTTGTAAAAAAATACCTTACGAAACTGTAATAAAATAGATCTATTATTTTATTTAAAAAAGTATAACTGCTACTAGAAAAACATTTAAAAAAGAATATCTTTTGTTCAAGTCATTAGATCTTTTTAAACAAAAAAATTTATTTATATATAATTTCAGATCGATTAAACTTTATTCATATTTTTTAATGACTCTATTATTTAAAAAGATAACTGAGTTGTGAACACTTAAACCAAATATACATATTATGCCTATAGATATAATTTGTGAAATTCTTTAATGTAAAATATATTGATATTAAGTACTTGTATGTGATGATAATTGACTTTGTGAAAGATAATATTACATATGGCGTGTATAATAGGGGCTTGTTGAACAACTAATTCTATGAAAAGAGCAAAATCGTTAATATGATTTGCGATGGCATATATCATTGGTGCTTCCAAGCAAATCGCCCAAATGATGCACAGATTATGATATAGTTTCATACAGGTGATCTTAAATTTTGTTGCGTCTTTTGGCATCGGCCAACTCCACGTTATCCATAAACTTAACTTCACGCTAGAAATAACTTGTTTAAAATTCAACTTCTTCGACTTCTTTGACTTTTGTACCATGACTATACTATGTATATTATACACGTATCGTAACAATGAGAATAATGTTGTAAATACTGACTCTCTTACAATTCGATATGTGCAATGGAAGATGTGCGATAAATGAATATAAAACAAACAAGAGAGGGGAGAAATTACTACAAATGTATTATGAATATCCCCGTTTCATACAAAGAGTATACATTGATAAAATTAAATATATAGGCATGATACATAAGGCACGATAAGAGAGGAGAATGTATCGTGCGTGTAAATTCAATACGTGGAGATGTAATAAGCTGTTTTTGCATTATCTATAGAATGCAGTGAGGGGTAGTGCTACTAGGTTTGGTAGGGCGTTTCTACTTTATAAGTAGAAACAGCTTATTACATCTGCACCTATTGATTTTAAATGCACGGTGCATTCTCTTTTCTTACAGTACCTTATAATTTTATCAATGTATACCCTTTCTGTATGAATACAGGAATATCCATAATGCATCTATAATAATTCCTCTCTACTCTCTTTACTTTATATTCGAATGTTTATCGCACACCCTTCGGCAATTCATTGCATATCGAATCATAAACTTCATAGTAATTTTATCACCCTATTTGTAAAGAAAACACGTAGAACCTATCATTATATTGAAATGATATGTGGTAAGAAAATATGTTGAAGAATACAAATTTCTATTCATTTAATTTTTATGTCATAATTTTTTAAGAGACCGGAAGTTCTTTCCTTGAGGTTCTACAATATACAATAAGCGCAGTAGCTAGAAACTTATGGGAATATTTATTATACGACAGGATACAGAATATCTTAGAAAAGATTTTATAATATTTTAAGATTGTAATCAGATATTGAAGACACAAGACGTATAAACAAATTTTTATTTCCTAATTTTGATAAATAAAACGGGTATGTTTAATAGAAAGTTAAATAGTAAAATGTTTATTTTGTTATTTTGAAGTGATTTCTGTATACGTATACTAGCATGAGTACTATGATGTAAAAATATAAGGTGCATCATTTTCGAGGACGAACGATCCAACATAGTGGCTGCTTTTTGAGTTATTCAAAAATTTGTCCTAAATTGTAAAGCAACACTATTTTGTGAGTATTTTGAGGCAAAAATTTGATTGGTTGTTCCTTTTGATCTATTATTCTACCACACACCATGTGCAATAATATACCTTATAATGCCTTGTATTCTTGTATTATGCTAAAATGCTTTTATGATATGACCTGTTCAAAAAGTTTTTAAATTTTGTCTTTATAATTTTTGAAGTTCATTTACTTATTTGACTATCTCTCCTTTGAAATACTCTCCTTTTCGATTGATACATGATATCATCAATTGTGAATCTTTGGCAACAGTGAAACAGTGAATTGGAGGTATCATTTCGAAGTGCTGAAACGTTTGAAATTCGCAGGAAAAAACTATATGCGACTTCGAAAGACGCATATCAGTTCTGCTTCTAGAAGTAAATAGGCATTGAGAGAGATATGTCAACGGTTGGGAGTCGTATATCAACGAAGGAGAATATTTCAAAAGAGACAAGGCTGAATAAGTTGTAATTAAAAAAATATATTAAAAAATAAAGACAAAGTAAGAATTTTTTGAACAGAATACAACATCGGTATATTATATTTACTATTTGTGTATATTATATTAATCCTCGAATACTATTGAAATGATATAGTATAGTTGCTATTAATACGCTTTTACGTTCAAGGAAATAGACTACTCCTAATTAACGTAACACAAGTTTTTCATACATTTCACATTTTTAATGACAAAATATTTATAATCTAGATTTATAATCTTTGATAAACACAAATAATCTAATTACGAACCTAATTATTACCTTAAAAAGAAAGAAGAATAAGTACATTTAAATTCAATCTTGAAGTGATATACAGTATTTAGTCCAATCCTTATTGTGTGTATGTCTCTTCATAATATTTGAATAAAATATATAATAACAGTATATATAATAATAACAAAACTGCTTAAATTGAAATCACTTATTACGCTTGCTGTTATAACATTGACTACATTTACATGGCACCCTTGAAGACCTTAATCGAGTTTAATAACATCCGTAGTTATGAAACTAACCAATCACAGTCGTTCCATTCTTCCGAGAAACAGCTATGATTGGCTTGAAACAGTTATGATTTCATAACTACGGATGTTATTAAATCCGATTAAGCGTGCCGTGTAACAGAGGTCACTGATTATTAAGGAATTTAAACTACAGGAAACAAAAATTTTTGAAGAGAGTCTGATTTAAATAAACATTAAACCTATAACTCAAATAGGACCAGTTTAATAATTTTGTAATTTATAATAGTGCAAAGAATTTTTTGTTATTATAAAAATATGCTACTTTACTTATATCTCAAATTCTTTCCCTTCGAACATCATTCGCATTGTAGTGAAGTAAGAGAATATTGTTGAAAGATACTGAAACATATATTATGGATGCATGTTCATACCTTGTAGCAAAAGTTAGTATATATGTGTAAATATGTCTTAATTATAATAGATATATTTGTAAATTATTCTTAAAAATTGGTATCTTTTTATTTCTTATTTAGGGTGTGACTAAAAATAAGTACTAAGATTATAAAATAAGTATTAAGATTATGAGGTAGAAATATATTAACAATAATTTTTTAATTATTAATTTTAGTATGAAATAAAATTATAATACTTAAATAAAGTAGAATAAATCCCATTTTTGCTATATTTTGTTAAATTAGGGACTTTATATCACATAAATATTTTTTTTATTTTTCTTATAGATGTTTTTCTTTATTTTTAAGAGAAATAAAGAAAAAAAGAAGAAAATATAATAATTTTTTCTAATTTCAAATAATTACAGATAACTAAATGACTAATGTGCACTACCGACGAATTTTAATAATAATTTTTTAAAATCACTATCTCACCGATGCATAATAACGTAAGGACAACGAGGGCAAACCGCATGGTAATGCAACTAGTATTGGCTTTTGGCTTCTCAGTATAACCATTTGTAAGTTTTTCCTAAGATATTCAGATTCAACACACCAATCTGTTTCAAAAGCTGCTTGTGCTACATTCGTAGTCTGTGAACGAGTCCATATAATTAATAAAATATAAAATGTAAATGATAGTTACGTTATTCCTTATAAATAATTTACTTACTACATGAATCAAATGTTCTGCTGGCCAGGCATACATAAATACTTCTAATAATGCACACATTGATAAAAGGATACACTGAATCTTCAAAGATAATGGTACCTTCTATTTGAACAGATATGAACCGTTAGGGGAAATTTTAATAATATGAATTGTCTAATTTAAGGATATTAATGCGTTTGTGTTAAAACGTAGAAAATAATTTGAAGACCCAGGCGAATTTTCAGTTTTAAATTATTCTTCCTCAAATTCGATTTCTGTGAACTTGGCACTCGAATTTAAGAAAAAAAAATTTTTTTAATACGCATTAAATTAAACTCGGTTTGTACCATCTTTTCATTTGTATCTCAAGGGGTTCAAAAGTATAAAGAATTGAAAAAAAGCCAGCACTCCACTTTGAAATATTTGAAATCTGTAAACGTGCTGTTTCGTCAGCACGGTTCACAAACCGAGTTTAATTTAAATGTATTAAAAAAATTTTTTTTCTTAAAGTCGGGTTCCAGGTCCAAATTTGGACATATAAAAAAAGTGAAAAACGTTTCTGGTTATGTCATTGTAAAATTGTATGCTTGAATGCTAAAAAAGTGTACTAGAATATTTTTTAGATTTTTTTTAGAGTTTAAAAACTTTTTGAGAAACACAATCAGGTACTAGTGACCTGAACTAGGAAACAGTGAAAAAAAAAACGTTGGACCACGGAGGATTAATTAAATATATAGTATGCTACAATTGCATTGAATTATACTTACTGCAATAAAAACAAGGCCAAATATTATTAATGCTACAGTAGAGAAAAGTACAGTTACCATTGCAAAGGGTCGAACTGTAAGGGCTACCTCTCCCGCATACCTAAAAATCATTTGAAATATTTTGTCTCATATATGGGGTAATATTTATTTAAGTAGATAAATAATTTTAATCTTAATAGTTAAATACATGCAACAAAATTTTAATATTTTACACATGCAATACAATTTTAATTTCACACTCTTTAAAAAGATGTCATACTCGATTAATTTTTGATGCTTTTCGATGCATTTCGCGAAATTATAGATATTCGTAATTGTTCGTAACTCTTCGGTCAACAATTTAAATCTCGCTGAAGCCAGCCAGATCAAAAGCCCCATAAAAGCGTTAACACATAAATGTGCAGATATGAACAGACCAACTATGATCTGATGCATATACGTAATAGCCCTTAACGGTTGATGAGACGCATCAAATGGAAAATCAGCAGCTGTTGGAAGCGACTGGTCTAGCATGACAGGTCCCATAAAAAGGCCGAAGAGACTCATGTAGAATAAACTTATGCAGAAACCATAAAAATTGGAATACTTATCAACATACTCCCGCTGAACAATCGTTTCCTCGTGAGGCTTGATCAATGCGCAAAAATTCTCCATTTCGAGAGTAACGTACTACAATTCATTAAAATTATATTATTCTGATTCATAACGTGAGAAGAAAATTTTATTTCTCAGAAGCAGAATGTATTAAATACTTGTAATCGTTGATAAATAATTAGGTGACACAGAATGTTGCCAATAACGTGGCTACAGGTGACCAAAGAGAACAATGATCTCATAAAACCATCGAGATCATTGGTATTCTTATTTTTCACAAGACCATATATTACCGACGATATTACGCCTATAGTCATTAATATACAGATATACTGATATAGCTTCACGCACAGAATTTTGTATTTAGAAGTGCCTAATGGTAGCGGCCAAAACCATATAACAAACAGACTCAACTTCATAATGGCAATCGCCTTCTTTAGCGTTACTTTCTCTTGCATGACTATTTTTAAATTACGTACAATTGCAATTCTGTGAAAAGTCTTACTTAAGAAACTATATACTGTCTTGAAAATATTTTCTTCACATCAAATACACACTATTTTAATGATATTCTTATAAAATGTATAGTGAAAGCGCGGAAAAACCGATGCCAAAACGTATTGCATCAGTTATTTTTAATGTAAAAAGAGTATGCATGCATACGAAAATAAGTTGATATAAGATTTTATTACAATTCTACTGAAATATAAAATGTCGATTGAAGAAAAATTACAAAATGGATGCGATATGAGGTTCTTCTCTGCGAATTCTTTGAAAACGTTAAGTGGCAGAAAATAATTTATTAGATATGCAGAACCTGAAATGTGAATTGTGGTGTTACGTAGCAGCTGTTTCCCGCACTGTTGAAACATTGATGAATCTTCTAACGTACCTTAATTGAGACATGAGTGAAATGAGTGTAAAGTGAAAAAGAAATTCTCTTATATTCGCGGACGCGGAGTCTAGTGTAGTTTCTAAACTTATACAATGCAAATTGTTTCTCAAACAGATAATTTATTCTATTCTTAGCTACCAATTTCAGTTTTCCTAAGTTAAAATAGTAGTTTTCAAATTTATTATTTTTTCTTAATTTGATATTTTTATTATTGTATATAATTACATAAGTTGTAAAAATAGGCAAAAATAGCACAAATTTCGCAATTCAATAGAATAATATTTACATTTTCTAAAACTTTAATATATAATTTTGCATTCGTTATTCAAAGATACTCACATTTCAGCAAGAATTTTTAACAATAAATAATTACAAGTAAACTACAAATTGACTAAATTATTAATAAAGAAAACTTGCGGTTTCGATTTGCGATGGAAAATAGTTAAGGGAAAGATATAATTAAAGTCAAAAGTGTAATAATGTTTCGGAGATATCTCTTCAAAATTTTAACAATAACTTAAAAATCATTTGGCATATGTGAGTTAGGGAATTAAAATGTGCAGAGGAATCTAATACGCAAGAGGATTTCAGTGGTGATATACAGTAATAAATATACATGCGTGAGAAAAATTTCTGCAATATTGGGCTCTCGTTCATAGCCAGGTGTATGTACATCTATTGAAAGACAGAATAGAATGTATTTTCCATAGATAGCTCTATCTTTTCCTGCGTGTACATTTAAACGCTTATTTTCATCTTTTCATTCCTATAGAGGAAATATCGAAAAATGCAATTATTTTCTTCGCTGTGTAATTTGTAGTTGCATATACGTGTTTAATTTATTTATAGTACGACTATTTGTATTTGATGCTTATAAAAAGCAAACTAATGAGAGTAAAACTAAATGTATAATTACTATTTCATATTATTTAAAAAAATATTTTTCGTTGATTTAATCTATGATATTTTTATTTTATTAATTTTATTATTTAACGAGATCCTTATGTTTAATAACAAAAGTAAAATCTTCCAATATTAGACACATTATGTAAAATATATATTGTTACATATAAACATACATATCATATAATTAAAAATAATTATATATCAATTATGACTACATATAAGTACACAAAACATCTGCTTTCCGATAACATATGAGAGGTAAATAGCTTCTGCGCCATGTGCTCAAAATCTGGGTTTTATAACTTTATAAATAAAAATTTCGGAGCCGTTCTTTCTACTAGCACTCACATTTTGTCATTAAAATTAAAAAAAATATGTTGTATGTTATGAATTATTCTAATAATTTATTATACGTTTAATCGAAACATTTTCTTTGTTACAAACGTTTTATTATATAATATGCTATAAAAATTTTACTATTTATATATAATGTCTTATAGCAAAATACCTATCTTGATCAAAAAGTTCCCGGAATTACCACCAGGTGATGCTCTGAGTCAGCTGATTTAAGTTCTGCTTTTTTGGTTAGGTTGCCACATCTATCATTGACATTTCCACCAAATTTTATCGCCATAGCTTGGCATTTGTAAAAGTTACGCCGTCTTGAGTACATCTACCTCTGCATGTGTTTTCGATTTTTTACAGTTTTAAAAATGGAGTTGAATTTGCAACAACGAGTTTGTATTAAATTTTTTGACCAAGAACGAAACGAATACTATCCAACAACCATCGAATTCACCCGATTATATGGCTCCTTGCGATTTTTTTCTGTTCGATCGAGTCAAAAAACCACTACTAAGAAGTAATGGAAAAATCGAAGACGGCTCTGATGGCTATACCGACAATAGAGTTCCAGAAATGTTTCGAGAGCTGGATCAAGCGCTGGCATAAGTGCGTTGCAGTCGATGGGGAGTACTTTGAAGGGGACAATATCACTTTTGATAAATAAACTTGTATTTTGAATTTTCTGAATGAATTCCGGGAACTTTTTGATCAAGGTAGATTACACCTTAGAATAATATTTAAGAGATAAAATTGGTAGCCCATGCTGATTACGAGTGATCTTTGACTTTTTTGCATCATGAAACATATGTTTTTAATGATATCTTGTGATCTTTTAAGCCACGATACACATTATATACTTCCATTGCAATTCTGGAACCGTAATAGTATCATTTGAAATTTTTTATTATTTAAATAAGAAATAAATAAATAAAACTTTTTAAATATGTATTAATACAAGATCTTTTATGCTTTTATAAAATATGCTATACACATGATTTATTATAGATTTAATAAAAAATATAAAAAATAAACCTGTTTAGATTATTAATTACATTTTCTGTTAAATCGTCAGCTAAACAGTCAAGCAGTAATGTATAATTGTAAACATCCAGATATCACTAGAAAAATTAATTGAGCCGATATCTCCAATGACTGTCTCTATATTAAAATTATTAAATGATAGAATTATAAATTTAGGTACATTTAAATTAAATAAATATCATTGATAAACAAAAATAGTAAAGTGCTAATAGGATATAACATACATGAATAATTGGAAAAGTACACGAAGAGAATTTTTTCTTAGAGTTTACCTTGAAAATATGATAGTCGTGCGATAACAACGTATTTTCAAGAATTTTAGTGTAAATCTCTCTCATTCATTAATAAAACTACAATAAAGTATAAAATAAGTTTAATTAATTTTACTGAAGTGCATGGCAAAAATCTTTAAAATATTGTATTGTACTATAACTACCATATTTTTGGGGTAAAAGAAGACTTTTTTAAATAGAATGCGTAAAACTTGTATACACACTTATATGCGGGCGTTTTTCGTTCTGAATATGAAGATGTTGCTTAACAGCTCCATCATACAAATAAATTCCACTAAAGTCTTCATTATTATCGTTACATTTTGCTGATGTTCATGGCACGCAATAATGTCATCTATATGACAATTATGTTCAAAATGTTAACCTTTGGAAGACCAGAGGCCCCTTTAGGGACTTTGAACCGTTCAATTTTTAATTATTTTAATATCTAATGATATTTAGTTAAAAAATAAAAAATAAGGGATGTCATTTTTTTTCCGGACCGAAGATCCCTTTAGGGACTCGAGTGGTGCCACCTTTTTCACTACTCAACCCCATGACATTGACAAAAAAGTTCTAGCTCTTAAACCAAAAAAGTTAATTAAAAACATATCGGTCCTCAGAAGACTAAAATTGCAATTTATCTTCCAAGAAACAAATTTGCCGACATCAGCATTAAGTCACATACACGGCATATACATTTGTAAAAAATGAAATACTTGATTAAATTTCGTATATATAATTATAATTTCATTATCTGAGCAATTCGGATTGTTTGCAAGGATCAAAAAGCACTATTTGCTCTTCGACGAATAGAATATTTCTGAGGAAGTTGAAAATGAGAGTAGTTGAAAGGTAAATCAATGGTTCATATGCTAAAAATTGCGATTGTCATGAGAATATATAATGTCAAATATTTGACTAATAAATTATTCCATCTAGAAATAAACAATGTCAGGTTATTTATTCAAGTGAGTGATTAATTGCATTGATTACAAACGGCATAGAAACAACGTTTTACAGGATATCACCTGAATATTTTAGCTTGAATTAGGGAAAAACTTAATTAATTCTGGATAAAAGCATTCTAACATACACATGCACAAATAGTTTTTTTTAAAATCTATTATTTTTAGAGGGCATAAAATGCATATATTTTTGTACACGTCCGTTATTAAAATATTTAAAAATAAATATATCAAATTCAATATAATGGTATACCTATTTTTTATTCAGCAATATTTATGTGATTGATGTTATTTTGGCAAACATAAAAGTCACGTATTGATTTGTAAACATAATTTTATAAAATAAATCATTTCAAATTGTATAAAATTTCTATTAATTTGATTTTTTAACGCGGATTAAAACGGAACTTTGTAGCATTTATCTACAAAAGTTATGATAACCGATGATAATGTTTTTGTAACAAAGTTATCAACATCCGCTAATATGATCGATCGAGTACAAATAGGTAAAATAGTTTACAATCTTTTAATGCTATAAATGACATAATAATAATAATAATATAATAATAAATGTCTATTATTAAAAATTTAATAATTTATATCTTTTAATATACAAATTGTTTTACATTACTTTATTAACAACGGGTAATATTACTTTTGCCGATAAAGTATTCTTTCAAGTGGTTGACTTATACCGTCAGACGATTAGAGACTAATAAATCAATAAATGTGGGAGTAGTAAAAAAATCCATACCTTTTATATAATATTTATTACTGTAATTTAATATAACTTCTTATTCTCTAACTAATTCATAATTCACAACCTATGTCGACAAAAGTTTCGGAAACATCTTTCCGAGTTTACAACTCAGTGGCATTTAACCATTCAACGGTTCGCACTAATGTAAACACAAATCTTAATGCGAGGTACTATCTTCTCGGCAACAAAGTACTTCCAGCTTTCACAACTTCGGCTTATACGAGTTCTGCTAATTAGTGCGTTGCACCGCTACCAGGTATTGTCTCGTTGT